AAAAAAAAAAAAAAAAAAAAGTAAAACCTGTTTCTACCAAACAGGTCCGAAGAGAGGCGAGAACGGTGGCTATGTGGGACCCATCCCGGATTCCAAAATTTTTTATCAAATCCAATTAAACTTCAGAAAAAATATATTTTAGCAATAAATAAATTAAATAACACTAATAATAATAAAGGAAGAAAGAACACGTCACCCACACCCACATGCTGGGTGGTCGTCTTAGTTGGCTATCAACCCCCGTAGATGGAGCCTGCTACTGACACGTGTACGTGGGCAGATGATTCCGGTACAAATATTATTCAGCCAACACGAAAAATCCTTTTTATTGCTACCTCCCAAACTTGATTTTTATTTATTTTCTTAAATTATTAGTTATTAATTAAAGGAGTTTTTTTAATACAAAGCTTGAAAGATAGGTAAATTATCGAATCAAAGTCTAAAAGATTTTTTTTTTTTTAATTGAAGACTTAAATGTTATAAAACTATCAAATTAAGTCATAGAATTTACAAATCTATAACACCATTAAATTGTAGGTAATTTGAAGTTTTAAAATACTAAATATGTTACAAAGTGAAAAAAGAAAAAAAAAATAAGAAAAATGAAAAAAATTAAGCAAAATACGATATTGTTGGAAAAAATTAAAGAAATATGAAGCTCTTACTCTGTTTTCTTGCTTTTTTCTTAAATAATATACAAATATTTATTTATTATTTTGTGTGAATAAACACCAATCGTATATTAAAAAAAAATCTTTCGGTCTCCGATTTAATAGTTTACTATCTTTCGAGTTTTGTATTGAAAAAACTCCTTAATTAAATTAAATGTGCCACTTTGAATATCAGAAAATTTAATTCTTTTTTCTATATAGACACGTGTGGAATGACGTGGCTTGTTGTCTTCCCTTTCTCCCTCTTTCTTCCTCCTCATTTTCTCTGATTTCTCTCACCAAAAAAACTACACAGAGAGGCACATCTGCAGAGGCGAGAAAAAATAAATGCATTGAATTTAGGGTTTGTAATTCGTAATTAAGCTTCCTAATTTAAATCTTTCAAGGTATGTTAACTTAAGCCTCTATTTTTATATTTTTTAATTTGGTTTTATTTTTGCTGATTTTTTTTTTAAAGTTATTTTTGCATACAAAAGAGGTGAATAATTTAGACTTAAAATGGATGAATTATGGAAGTTATGAACTTTTAATTATGATTAATTGATTAACAGGAATTTGAGGATTTTTTTTTTTTTTTAAAAAAAAGATTTAATCTCTTTCAATTTCTCTGCTTAAAATCCTTGTTGCTGTTGAGTTATGAATTTTAGGTGGTTGAGAAGGATAATGTTGTCATTACTTAATTTGTGTTGGATTTTAAACAGTAGATTTTAGCAGTAATGCAGTGGCTGCTTGGGAGGAAATTGAAGGACGATATTACCCTCATGCTATATAATTACGGGAAAATGCTACAATCCCTTTACGGAATTAGTTTGTCGGGATTTGTAATCGTTGGATTGTAACCTTCGTGGATAGTTGATCTAAACGGTTAAAAATCCCGACGGAATGATTCGGACCGTAGAATCTCCCATTAATTACATATTTTATGTCTAAATATTAGTTCCTGTGGAATTAAATGGTTTGAAAGTGTTATTGAGTTGATACTCGTTGTGTATTTATTCTCTCGAATCCGATTATCATTCACGTTATTAGTGGAAAATAGATATTTAATAAGTCATTTAAGGAGCATTAAAATGTTGGTTGGTTGGTTATGGAAATTATAGAACTCGAGAGAGCTCAATTCTTGTGTAAATGCTGCCTAAGTGTTAGGTGGGTCGATCTGTCATACTATTTCGACAAAAATGTGTACTTATGTTATGAAATGTTGTACTTTTGTTTGTGATGTATTGTGGAGCATGACATTCAATTTGAACGTATATGTATATTTGTTCAAAAAGTATGAAATGTTGTACTAAGCAGTCTTACTGAAGTCAAGAGGGTTGCGAGTGTTGGCAGTTTTTATTGAATGCAAAGATACTTTTCGAGCTTGTTAAATTCTTTTCCGACTTTTCATTTTTACTTCATCTAGGGCTGTTTTATTGATATTGAACCCCATCAAAGGATATTTGGTGTTTATAAGCATTGTCTTGTTGCTTGCGGATGGCACCGATGTTTGTTAATGATCTGGACCTATAATTTGGTTCAAATTTAATTGCGATTTCTCGATGTTTATCTTTTAACATTTTTTTTAGAAACTTGAGTACCAGTCGTGCCGTTGTCTGTTTCAAGTATCAAATCAATACGTTTTGTGTCGATTTATTATTGATATTCGCAGCCCATCAGAATCCAATATGTGGGGCTGAATTATTTGGGTATTGAGGAGGCTTTAGCCTTCTAAATCCCGTCTGAACTCCGAACGTAACATTGTTGAAATGTTATATTTTCTTATATATATGGATGCTTTTGTTTTGGCAGAAACATTGATACTCGGCTTTTCTTATTGGTTTTTATTCAGCAAAAGGTCCTGCAAAATATCATGGGAACCAGTGAAGAAGTGAAGCCTTCCAAACCAGAAAAATCGTCTTCATCTGCAACCGTGAGCACGAAGCAATTACCTCAGCAAATTTTAGAATACAAGATATTATTTGGGAGCCTCGGAGTTTTATTGTCTAAATGTCCTTCCAGTTTTCTTTATTTACATGAAAAATCACCTTAATAAGATCCAAAATACAATACTTTCCATATAATATTTTATTTTCCTTCTAAAATTGCAATACGGGATTTTTCTTGGCAGGATCATAATAACATCCACGTGTATCCTGACTGGGCGGCAATGCAGGTGATCCCAATCAGCCCTTTGCCAGTTTCTATAGCTCGAGCAAAAACCATACATGTAAATTAAAGATGAATTTTATAATGATACTTGTATATGAATCCTTATTCTTCAGGCTTACTATGGTCCCCGATTTGCTGTACCACCATATATGAACCCAACAGTTGCTTCTCCTCATGCCCCTCCTCCTTATATGTGGGCTCCACCTCAGGTGCCAAACCGGTTTTTCATGCTGCGAGTCTTGTCAGTTTAATATTTTCTGTACATATTGCCAATCTGGAATAATCTCACAATACATAGCTTCTTTTCTTTCCGTTTTCTATTATAAGTCGATGATGCCTCCTTATGCGGCTCCGTATGCTGCATTCTATGCTCACGGAGGAGTTTATGCACATCCCGGAGTTCCTCTTGTAAGAATTCTCACATGTCTTAACATTATTTTAATTATTATCATTCTTTTTGTTCCTTTTCTTTTAGAGTTGGTGAAGAAGATGATTTGATAGTGAGATGTGCGTTAATGTAGGCCAGTACCACTTTGAACATGGAGACACCGGCCAAGTCATCGGGAAATACGGATGGAGACTCTGTGAAGAAGCAGAAAGAGTTTGATGGGCTGCCAATGGTAATAAGCAATGGAAATGGTGACAGTGCTGACCATGGGACTGAACGTAAAATGTCGGACAGGTTTGTGGACAATCTAAGAAGGGACATCAAATTTTCTTGAATAATTTAGGAGGTATTTGGGGCTTTAAATTTTTCAAAGCATCATATAAGATGGTTACGAACTTATAAGCTCTTAAAATTTTGTTCGGTTATTTTTCATTATAATGTCGAATTGCCGATGGTTCTTGCTTATTTCGACATCATTTGACAAATGAACCAAAATTTGTTCTTCATAAACAGTGACGAGACTGGAGGTTCAAGTGATGGAAGTAATGGAGTTACGCCACGGGTTAGAATTGCCTTGGACTGTTAAATTTTTCTCTCCTATTTTATTGTTTTTTATATCTCGGGTTTACTATCGATTATTTATTTAGTTATAAATTGTTGCGTGTCATTTTATGCAAATGCCATTTAATTAGGTCGGCCAGAAGAGCAAGAAGAGAAGTAGGCAAGGTTCTCCTGACAAAGGTAGCCTTATTTCTTATGTTTTAACATGTTACATATAGTCATGCTTTAGCATTTTCATATAATGTTTTGTGGTTAACCATTTGTTTTGTTTGAACTCTTAGAGTTTTAGTTTACTCTTATATTTGGTTTGTCCAATAACAGGAGATAGCAAAGCCCCTGAGAAGACGGTCGATGTAATAACTGCTACTGCTGATGTGCCCGTTAAACCAATGGAGAACACAAACTCTGTATTGAAACTCAAAAATGTCAAGTCCAGCCCAGCTAATGTTCCTTCACAATGGATGCCAAATGAAGCCTGGTTGCAGGTGTGTGACAAAAAGTATCTCGTTATAATTTAAATTTTCTTATTTAATTACTTAAATTAACATGAGAAATTCAGTAATTCTATATATCTCCATTAGTTTCAGTTGTTTTGCTTACTTTATTACGAAATTACATTATATCGGGTCACAGGACGAACGAGAGCTGAAAAGGGAGAGGAGGAAACAGTCCAATCGAGAATCTGCTCGAAGATCGCGCCTCAGGAAACAAGTTAGTTAGCTAGTTAGTTAGTCTTTCTTTATTCAACTCTTGTTACCTTCTGTGATAATTATACTACATTCAACTTTTGCTCGTCTCAGGCGGAGACTGAGGAACTAGCTGGCAAGGTGAAGGCACTGACTGCTGAGAATATCTCCCTCAAAGCCGAGATCAATAAATTAATGGGAAACTCTGAGCAACTGAAGCTTGAAAATGCTGCCCTCTTGGTATTTTTTATTTTTTATTTTTTTTTTGCAAAACTAAAAAATAAAATCTCATTTTCTTTCCAAAAATAAAACATCAACCATCCTTTGACATTGTGAAACACCGCTTGATGTTTGCTTTTGAACTTTTTTGGTTTTTAGATGTAGTTGTTTTTGTTTGTTTATAACATGCGCGCAAAAATGTAAATGGACATAATTTTGCAGGAGAAATTTGAAGACAAGGATATCGAGTTTATCGAAGACAAGAGGCTAATAAAACCGGTTGGGACGGTCAACCTTCTCGAGAGGGTCAACAACTCTGACTCAAACCCACACGAGAATCGAAGCCCACGGGCCAAGCTCCGTCAGCTTTTGGACACGAGCCCCAAGGCTGATGCCATAGCCGCCATTTGATCCTCTCGCCTATTTTTTTTCTCCTGATCCCGTGAGTCTTGGCGATAATTACATGCCCGAAAAACAACATTTCTAACAACAGCTGTAATATGGAGTGTTATGATTATATTTTAATCGCTCTCGGCAAGACCTGGAATGTAACTTTTGATGTTCGGATTGCTGGGGATGCTGCATTTAACTACTTGGTATACGGCATTTTTAGAAAGAAAAAAAAAAGAAGGAAAAAACAGAGAAAATGGAGTGTCAGGTATACTAATAATGGAGTGTGATATATACTAATAGTGCTGGTGAAGTATTTGTTGTGCTATTTGAGGTCCTTTGAGTTTTTTTAACGAGGACATGTACGTGATTTTAGTAGTGTAATGTAATATGGTTTGCGCTGTGAATAAGATATATACTTGTCCTGAGTTCAATTTTTAGGTTCGGCCTGTAGTTTTTCTCTGTGTATACAATTTGTGCAGTCGGCTTTGGCTTTGGCTTTGGCGCGGCCTCCGATTTGTATAAATCGGCTGAAAAAATTGCCAGGCGGGCTTGGTGAAAGTTTTTCAATATTTTTTTTTTAAATATTAATTACATTATTTGTCATTAATTTTTTTTATTTTTTTTTGTAATATATATAAACCATCTACAAATGAGTCAAAAATAGAAGAAAAAAAGGCAATTCAAAATCAATTATAAATCTAAATTACAAATCAATCATTCATAAACTTCAAATTTTA